CAAACCACTCGATCACCCAAAGATAGTTATCATCTTTTCTTTATATAATGTCTGACAATGTATTATACTGTATAAGAATTTTAATACCTTTTTTTTATTTGCAAATTGCATTAATGTAACATGGGAGGTAGATAATTTAGAAGGGCTTTGATCTCAAATTGTACTTGTATGTGGTTGGCTTTGCCTTGTGCAGGTTTAATTTGCAAATTGCAATCTTTTTGAATCAAGATTCTTGGTGAAGGGATATTACTATTAATTTTGAGAATTCATATATTAGTCTAGAGAAGGGACAACCCGTTGTGATTAGCACGTAATTGAATACTAATTATGCTAACGGGGGAGCATATGATTGATTAATTTCAGCAGCCGTGATAAAACTGAGTGCAAGCAGAAATGTGCAGAGATAAACAGGATATGCATGGATCTTAATTTAAATTTCCTACTTCTAACCCAATACAACAACTCTTAATTTATCATTTTTTACGCATTAAATTTAGAACCCTAATTCATCCATTATTTTTCTCATCTAATGGAGACTCAAAGAGAAGACGAGAGACTTGTTTTTAAAAACACTCGTCCAGATGAACTTCCACAGAGTTGTTTTCTGATTGCAGCCTTCATCATGGAGCGAGTAGATAGGTTCATTTTTTCTTATATTTCTGTATCACTACCCAACAAATTTCGCTGCGCTTTCCCTCTTGATTAGTCTCTAGAACTTTACCTTCAAAACGAGAAAGATTATTATTATCTAGAGGATCGAAACAAATGGTTGATAGAGGAAAAAAAAATCTTTTTTTAAAGCTTGAAGACGCCCATAATGCATGTATTCAAGCCAAAGACGATGCATTGAAGGTCTGTTTACATTCCACACGAATGCCTGAAGAAGAATGTCTCCCTGACTCCTCTGGAACCAATTCATGGTACCAGTACTACGCGCGAGCGGCGTATGATCATCAGCTACAAAACCATAATTTGGTTAAAGAAAGAAATGAGCTTTCCGCAAAGCTTCATTCTGCAAATTCATCAGCGAATTTTATGAAGCTTGTTTAAAAGATTCTTAAAATGAGTGTCGCAAATTGAGAGACGAAATAGATAATCTGTCTTCAAAACTTTCTTCTGAAACTTCTTATGCGGAATACTATCACAAGTTTGTTGAAGAGATGGAGGAGAGTTCAAGAAATTGGGGGANAAGGTCTGTTTACATTCCACACGAATGCCTGAAGAAGAATGTCTCCCTGACTCCTCTGAAACCAATTCATGGTACCAGTACTACGCGCGAGCGGCGTATGATTATCAGCTACAAAACCACAATTTGGTTAAAGAAAGAAATGAGCTTTCCGCTAAGCTTCATTCTGCAAATTCATCACCGAATTTTATGAAGCTTGTTTAAAAGATTCTTAAAATGAGTGTCGCAAATTGAGAGACGAAATAGATAATCTGTCTTCAAAACTTTCTTCTGAAACTTCTTATGCGGAATACTATCACAAGTTTGTTGAAGAGATGGAGGAGAGTTCAAGAAATTGGGGGAAGAGAAGAATGAACTTGCCACCAAGCTTTGTGCAGCAAAAGGAGTATCTGAACTCTATCTTAGCTGTATGCAAGATAATAATATCCTAGTTTGAATGTTACGCAAGAATTACTTAATGATTATTTTATAATTTGAATGTTAGTTAAATTTAATTTGTTTGAACTCATTCTTTTTTAAACTCTTAAAAAAAGTGTATTCCTTTAAACCATTCGATTCTAGTAAAATATTATGAAATCATCAAAAGAATTAAAGAACGTTTGAAATTAAAGAAACAAATAACCACACACAAATATCGAACTAGTGAAGAAAAAGAAAACATGCTCGATTATTGATCCTGGTTCACCCAAAACCATGCTACATCTAACAGAGTCAATATTATTGAAATATTTCCTCACCTCTCTCTTACCATGACTACATCCAACAGAGTCAATAGTATTCAAATATTTTCTCACCTCTCTCTTATCATGAATGTATTTACTATGATGTATTTTTCCTTTCAAACAAGAGAATAATGTCTTTATATACTAGGTAATGAAAAGAAACCTAATACAAGTAGGATCATCATTCCTAATCCCAACCCTATTACAAGTTCTAATCCTTAGAGAATCCTAACGTGGCTATACATGGTATAAACCCAAACCGTTTAACCTGTGTGTGTTGTGCAGACTAGTTGTGACCTCTATTGTTGAAGGGATCACCAACTCCAACAATCAGTTCATTGTAAAGTAACTGAGAAGTAAAAGAGACATTGACTCTAGAAAATGCATACATCTAATATGACATCGTATGATTAGAAGAACGATTAACAAAGCAAATATTAATTGACCCTGATGAAGATTATTGATGCAGATAGAGAAAAATGAAGGTCAAATAATATTGATTTAACACTGTGTCTTCAATAGCTAGTAATGGTCTCTTGAATGTTTAATTGGAATGTTAGATAAATTTAAAAAAAAAAAAAAAAATTGGCCATAACGAAGGAAATTAACATTCTTTAACATGAGTAATTAACTATTGTTTTCGACAACATTTAGAAACTGTAGATGAATTAATTACTGATAATTTTTTGTCATGTTAATTGGCTTTTGTGGTATCACATTATAAATTAACCCAAACACATTTTTAACTTCTATCAACTTTAGGGAATAAATAGTCTAACTTTAGTATAAGATCAATAAATTCAATATCACCACATTTAATTAAATTGAAATCTTCTGTACTTCTTAATAAGTCAATATGAACTAAATACATAATTGATATGTTTAAAGAAGTTCTGCAGTCCCCTCCTTTGTGTTTACATGCTGTTTGGCTGGTCGGATGGGTTGGCTGTAGTTTTTGGTGCTCTGGGCAAAGTGAACTTGGGTGGTGGGGCTGTTGCTGTTTTGTGGTTTCTGTATATCTGCTCTCGGGGTTGGTGGCTGCTGCAGTCCCCTCTTTTGGGGATGTTTTTGTGTGGCTGGGCTGTTATGGTGGTGTTTTGTGTTTCTGCTGGTGTGGAAAAGTGGCTGTGGCTGCAGGATTGTCGGGTTCTGAAGCCGTTTGTGGTTGTTTGGTTTCTTTTTTATTTCCCCCTGGTTTTAGCTGTTTTGTGTGCTTTGTTCTCTTTGTTGACCGTTTGTATAGGCACCCTTGACTGTTTTTTTCTGGTCTGGGGTATGTTTGCTCTGTAAAGGATTGTATATCCTGTCTTTTGGTCCCTTTTGTTATCTCCAAGGTACCTTCCGTTAGGGGTCTTCCTTGTTTTTTGTATATTCATTATTCTTTAATAAATTATCAGTTACCTAAACAAAAAAGTATTAACATTGCTATTTTATACCTAGATATAATTGATAACACAAAACCATAAAGTGTGGAAGACTTAGTCAATTAGGGTTTATAGTGCGATCATAATTTGAGATAAGAGAAAACACGAGAAGATATAATTAATATGTTATCATGCTAATGTGGAAGAATATGATTCGATATAATTAATTTAAGCAGCCATGATAAAACCGAGTGCACTAGAATCCTAAGGTAAATAGAATATAATGGATCTTCACTTCCGACTTCCAGTGTCCTATTCCTACCCATAACCCAACAAAATTAACTTAGATTTTCTTTTTTACTCATAAATTAAAACCCTTATATTGTTACATCTATAACTATATAAATAAAGAACAAAACCAGCTTTCAAAAGCCTTATTTCATTCTCTCTTTTTCTTCTTCTTCTCTAATGGAGACTCAAAGAGAAGAAAGGCAGATGAAGACTTGTTTCTAGCGGTGATGGTGGAGACGAGCTTTTACAGAGTTATTGTCTACTGATTGCAGAGTTGGTAGCTTTCATCATCAATAGAGTGGGTTTATTTTATCTAATTTTTCAGTATCAATATCCGAATCTTCAGTCATCAATTATCTTATTTATTTAACAACCGAACTAATGGAAACAGTATATCTAAGTGAAATCGGTGACGCCCCATTTTACTCACCGTATCCATGCCTTTGCTGCAAGTGACAATTTCAATATTTACAAATTAATATCTATCTTTGTGTATTGATGTGATGAAAAGTTACAAAATTCAATTTGACCTATTTGGGTGCAGGGACGAAGTATATTTTTGGATTGCACATTTACACGCTTGCTACAGCCTAGTTTCAAAGTGGAAAGTGGCTGACCTAGCTTCTTTATTGTTTTGTTTCACACACACTGTTTTCATCATAAAATTTGTGCACTGGATTTATAAATCGGTGAGTGATTTACCATTATGCTTCTTTTTTTTTTTTTTTTTTTTTTTTATTCTTTTTTCCTTTTTCTGTTTATTGAGTGCTATATATGTATGTATATCCTGATTATCCAATTTGTGGGAGTTGGTTGCAATTGTGTCTCATCGTTGATCATATAAATTTCATACAGATGGACAATGAGACACAGCCGAAACAAGAACCGCTACTAAAAGCTGGAATAGTTGAGGAAAATTTACAGGCGGAGAAAGTTGAACCAAACCAAGAACCATTGAAAGCTGAAATACTTGAGGAAGACAGGTTACCCAAAGAGAGAGTTGAGTTGGATCTACAGCCATTGGAAGCTGAAAGAGTTGAGGAGGACAAGTTACCCAAGGAGAAAGTTGAGTTGGATCAAGAGCTATTAATGGAAGGTGGAATAGTTGAGGAAGACGAGTTACCGAAGGAGAACGTTGAGTTTCAGGAGCCATTGGAGGGTGAAATAGTTGTGGTGGCTCAAGAACCATCGAAAATTGATTTATTTGAGGAAGACAAGTTACCGAAGGAGGAAGTTGAGTTGGATGAAGAAGCTTTGAAATTTGTAATGCTCGATTATGAGTTACTGAAGCTGGAGCTGGAGTATGATAATTATTTGGACACACTTTATTTGGAAGAACTTCGTCGGTTAGCTGCAGTCCCCAGAGATCGTGATTAGTTAGTGAAGGAGCCGAAGGAAGAACCACTGAAATTTGATCTTGAGGATAAGTCACCATCAATGAAAGAAGCAAATGGTGAAAGGAACGAAGCTTTGCTGGAATTAAATGATGTTTATGGAGATGATGATGTTGATGAAGATGATGATAGTGATGAAGACAACGACGATAGTACTGATGATGAAGACAAAGACAGTGATGACGACGATGATGATAAAGAGGGCGAGGATGACAAGGATGAAGAAAAAGAAGAATATGAATATCCAAAATTGAAAGCTGCAGATTGTTACAAGTTTTCCACTGAAGTTGAATTTGAAAACAGATTCAAAAATCAGCTCATAATTGACTGCAAGGAACAATGTCTCATCTTGGAGGAAGAGAAAAAGGATCTCACTGCAAAGCTTGCTGCCGCCTCAGAGTCTCTAGGACTATACCTTCAAAAGGAGAAAGACTATCTCGAGGACAGAAGCAATTGGTTCATAAAGAGACAAAATCTTTCTTTAAAGCTTGATGATACTCAAGCTTGTTTGGAAGATAATGTAAACGAGTCTCGCAAATTGAGAGAAGAGAGAGATGATCTTTCTTCAAAGCTTTCAGCTCAAACTTCTTACGCTGAATACTACCACAAGCTATTTCAGGAGACGGAGGAGAAGAACAAAAAGCTCGCTGAGGAAATGGAGGAAACGAATAGAAAATTGGAGGAAGAAGAGAATGATCTTGTTGCTAAGCTTTGTGCAGCAAAAGCAAGGCAGAACTCTATCGTAGCTATTTACATGATTGCGAATTTTTGACTTCTTTTTGCCAAATATATTGTATACACCTGTTACTTTTGGTCTGGACATTGGAGTGTTGGACATTATTAGCTTGATGAGACAGATTCTTTTTTTTAATTTATGGTCTCTGTTGATTTAGCTCTTTGCCCATGTTATTATATTATTCTCATTGCTTGTACAAAGATTAATATATGCAATAACTTCGTTTAGAAAACACTACTTATGGATGATTGAGTGATATATTTGATGTGAACTTTTGAGAGTATTACTCAAGAGGTTTTTTTGGGTATTAATAAGAATAGTCACTAAAACTCTTACCCGAATGATAGTTCTAAAGCCCCAGAGGATTAGTTGAAATACACATCAACTAACCCAAATAGAGTGAAAAAGCAACCCGTCCGGCCCGACCCAGCCCATCCAGCGACGGGTTGCTGTTAATGGTGGTTCGGTCCTGACCCACTTGGTGACATTGGCTGGCCGGGTTAGGCCCGCCAATATTAAGGAATTGGCTGACCCAACCCAGACCACCAACCCTAACCCACCGGGTTAGGCGCGGGTTGGGTCGGGTTAACCTGCATTTTTTATTTTTTTTTTAAATTTTGTTTTGTTTTATTTTGTTTAAGTAAAAATGTTTAATTAACTTTTTAAATGAATAATTAACAATTTATAAATGAATAAATGTAATTGTTTTTAGTTAATTGTAAACTTCTTTTCAAATATCAACAATTAAACTAAATTAATTTTTTTTTTGTTAATATTCCAAATATTAATTCAATTTTAATACATTAAAATTGTAATATAAGAATAATTAAATTTATTCATTTATTAAAAATAAAATAAGAAATTACAATAATTATTGTCTCGTTAAAAACCTTACCAAGAAAAACCCAATATTACAAAAACTTGGTAAGGAAAAAAGAGTGCAATAATTGACAATTAATTTGTCAAGTTACAATTTACAAAACAACTAATTTTGGGGTTCACTAGGACCTCCCTCATCCGTATCATCTATATTACAAAATTGAAATGATTCTATTAAAGTATCGTCGACAACCTCGTATTGACCTTGATGGCGCGACCGTTCTCAATCTCGAAGACATGTGAGGACTTCAATCAATTGGGGTGAAAGTTTAGTCCCCTTTCATTTAAAATTCTTCCACTTGCTAAATGTTTGTTCAGATGAGATGGTTGAGATAGGAACAGCGAAAACATCCAAGCAAGTCTTGATAATACCGGAAAAATACATTTCCTAGCTCTCCAATAGTCTAAGAGATCAAAGTTGGATCTCTGTGTGGATCTACTAGTACATTTAGGGGTTGCCAAATATTGTTGAAGCTTATTACTCAACAACTGCATGGAAGACAGTACATCAGTTTGTTGTTGTTGGTGGAGCTTCTGAAGAAAGGTTCTGCTTCGGTTCAGTCCTTTTCGGCCTATTCAGTGCACCCCAAGAGTAAGAATTCTTCATTTGTTTCTTCTTTGCAGCTTCTCTGGATGTTTCACCTCTTTCGGTTCCCATACCTATTTTCATACTGGAAATATACTTCGAAAAGTGTATTTTTTACCTCTCCTATTGATTGGCATATGCTTCGGTTTGTAAATTTTCACATAAACTGTCAAAACCTTTTCTAAACCTGCTAATTTAATTAATTCTATGATCAAATATAGCACCTAAACAATAAAGAAAATGAATGGGTTCCCAATATTTTTAAAAAAAAAAATTACATGCCTTTATTGGTGCATTTAAATATATTGTCTTTGTTTTTTATAAATACTCGAAAATTTTTATAATTGTATGTATTACCATGGACTAGTAGGATAATACACTCAAGAAGTTGTAAAGTAGATTGGTAAAAGTTTTAAGAAAATAATGAAATACTTTAGCTATATGCCAATCATTTTCTACCAAATAATGAGGACCTCTATTTTTTGCTACAAACTAATTATATTAGCATAAGTAAACATGAATCAAGCATTAAATAAGTCTATTCCATCTAACAGGCATGTCTAATGCAAAAGTTCTAGGAGACATATTGATTTTATACAACGTCTTGAAATTCAACATTTTTTTTATTACTACTATAATCCAAGCTAAACATCTCTATTCTATAATATTTTTCTTTAATTGTTTTCATGCCACTTTCACAATTAAATTAATAACATGACATGCACAACGTTGGTGAAAAAACTTCAAATTGTTAATAAAGGATAATTACTTTGAAAATAATCTATAGCTTTACTATTAAGAACTTGCATTATCTAAAGTTAAACTTATCACTTACTAACAACATCATAATCTTCTAAAACTTCAACAATTTTATTATAAATTTGTTCACCACTATGATCAACATCCATTAATCTAAATCCTAATAAGATTTATTTAATTTACATTTATTATCAAAATAATGACTATTCACACAAATATAATCTTGTTTAGCTCTACCACTCCAAAATACGATAGTTAGAGCCACACTAATAATACAAGTATGTATTTATTTTTTAATTCTAATTTCATTTTTTTAAAAACATTTTATTAAATCATTTCTAGTTGTTAGTTTTAGAATAACTTTTAAATCCTGGAAAAAATGAATTTTGAACAAATCTTCAAAATATTTATCTTCAGCCATGTTATAGGTTGATCAGTTGCAACAATATATAAAGCTAACTTATCCTTATATACATCAGATTATACCGCCAATTAGTACCCATATTAGTTATTTTGAGTTTGATTGCTTTCTCTTTTCTTCCATGTTGATCAATATGTTTATTAGCATGCCTTTTTAAAGTACTAGTACTTTTACCTGAACAGCTTTATAAATATTTCCACAGTATTGCTCTATCTCGCTTTCTTGACTTGAACGCCATTTTCTGTCTCTAAAACTTATCGAAATGCGCCCAACGTCTAATAGGTGTCTGTCTTCGCTTTCGACGCAGTTGATGATCCCGCCTCAGCTTGAGATGAAGTTGACGAGCACGACGATTATGAGGACGACTTCTAGAACCACCGGGAGCTTTTGGAATCGGGGGCATATTTGAGGTGTTCGGATTCTGAGAATGGAAAAGCGGGACTATTTGAATCTCCTCATGCATTTATGTTAGTAAAACACGGGACTGGACTAGGACTGATGTAGTTTCTGTCATCATTGTAATTGATAGGAAAGAAATAATATCCTTGTAGTTGAAAAAAAAAAAAATTGATGTAGAAGAAATAAATTAAAGAAGAGAATTGGAATTTGGAATTTGGAAAGTTGGAAAAATGAATTAAAAATTGCAAAAACTAATAAAAATTAAATACGAGCAAATTGATAACAAAATTAAGAAATAAATGAATAATTGAGATATTAAGTTAGAGAATATGAAGAGAATAGAGAATTTGAGTTGTGAGAAATGTAAGAGTTTAGGGCCAATTTATAGGAAAAAATGGGAAAGAAAAATGATGAAAAAGACCTCTCCAATGGCTTATAACGGCTATATTTCAAGGGTAAAGGGTATTTGAAAATAAAATAAAATTTTTTATTTTTTTCGGCCAACCCGCCGGGTTGGCTGTTGCAACCCGACGAGTTGACGGGTCTCTTACAAAAGAGACAAACAGCAACCCGCCAGGTTGCGGTTGCCATTGTGTAACTCGGCCCGCCCGGGGGTTGCTATCAGGTTAAACCGCATCTTTACAGGCTAGGTTAGGTTGACCCGCCTAACCCAGTCAAAATGTTCCACCTCTAAACCCAACACCCCCTATCATTAAAAAAAAAAAACAAAAAAAAAAAAAAAAAAAAAAACTTTGATTAAATTGAAATTCTAGGCGAAGGGACAATGGACACTGCCATTAGCTAGAACTTTTATTGTAGCTTGGCTAAAGTAAGAAGAAGGAACGACCAATGGTATTCAGTCGCATGTTCTTTCGTTTGATAAATTTAAAATACAGCAATAACACCAACTTTTTAAGTACATGCCTACCAAAAGCAGATTCTTAGGATATATATATTATATATTATAAGAACCTTGATACCTTTGAGGATGTTAACACACTTCCTAGTTTCTCATCTCAAGCTTTATTTTTCGATCATTCAATACTTGAACACGATACCAAGGCAAACCCACGGGACTTTATCAACAAAAATATACACTATAAACTTGATTAATTGGGGTGTACCTGGAAGAATTAACAGTCACAATGGGGCTAGTTCCTGACTAAAACACAAATACAAATGACAATATTTCATTTACTTAATATGAATTGAAGGGACGTATGTAATCTATCAGAGCATGCATTATTGTTTCACAGAGAGTCCTCCATTCATAGATTCCCCCTTATCCCTAACTTTTTGCATATTGTTTTGCTAGCACGAAATAATTAAAAGTATACTCAGTGGCCAGTGCGATCCGCAATACCCTCCAATGTTTGCTCAAATATAGGTTGCTTCAAATTCAAGTTTTTCCATAAAAGATCATCCTTATCAGAATTGGAGAAAGATTAACATCACTGACCAAGCAAATACCAAAACCCAACCATATTTTTTTTTATATATAAAACCTAAAACATTTATTCGATAACAAAGGGTTCAAACCACACCGAATCACATATGGAATTCACAAAAATACCGACTACAGAAACCTAATACCAAACTTGATATAGTAACCATCAGACGTTGCTGCTGCTGTCTCTCAACATATTCCTACTAGTATAACTGTGTAAGGCCGGCCTTGATGGTTCTTCTACTCAAAGGCCCATTGGTTCTCCCTTCTGACTTCATCTTCTTCCTCCTGAGTGAAATCGTTCTTGATGTTGAAGGTCTTGCGGATCTCCTCCGGCGTCTTCCCCTTTATCATGTCAGCCACGGTCTGGCAGGTCAAATCAAGCAACCCCTTGATGTTCAAATAGTTGGACGCCTGCAATTTTTTTTTAGCAATTCCTATTATTAAATAAGCAATACCCCCGCTTGTAAACAAACATCTAGTTGACTTTAAAAACAAAAGAAAAATAAACCAATTATCAAAAAATCAAGGGTCAAAGGAACGTAGATAACCCAAAAATTCAAATCTTTCTAAAACCAATCAAACAGACGCAAAGATTGAAGGGGTCAACAGCTTCTTTACTACGATATGCATATATCCCGGGAACCCAAAAACCAAAACTTTCTAATAGCATTATAACCAAACAAAAATAATAATAACGCAAAAGCGTAGAAAGAAAAAGTTTATTTACGAAAAAGCTTTCTCTTCTTTGTACGGAATAAAATTACTTTTTTTATTTAAAATTAGTATATATTTCATATTTGAGTAGTGGAAATGACAGCGATATCGAACTATTGTAACGTAAATACTCTCAAAATAAAAACTTTCAAATAACATTACAAGCCGAAAAAAAAAAGTGGCAAAAGCGTAAAAAGATTACCAGGATGAGATCAAAGAGCGTATTCTGGTCAACCTTGACGAACTCATGGTCCCAGTTCTTGAGATCATCATCAGACATTTTAGGAGTACCAGCTTCCTTGCTTGTAGTGGCTTCCACGTGCTTCTTGCAGTACTCAATTACCTTTGAAAGAATCTGACCGGAAACATTCGGCAAGGGGATCACGGTGTCGGCGCACTCGTCTTCGATCATGTGCTTGATCGTCTGCGACTCCAGCGCCACCACCTCGTCCACCTCGAACGTCTCACCGTCCGAACTCCTGAGCATTATCTTCTTGTTCTCAGCAGACGACGACATCGTTTTCGTCTCGACTGTAATGTTCTTCTCGACTGAATGATTGCTTCTTCCGGGAGCGAGAGAGAAAGAGAGAGAAAATTTGTGATTGTGATTGTGATTGTGATTGTGGAGGGTTAGGGTTTATATACAGAGAGGTTGGCGATTGGGAACCGAACGCCGCCGTTTCGGAAAAGGATTACTTGCTAAAAAGGAGTTTTGGGATTTGAGTCTCATTGGGACTGCTGCAACGATGTCGTTTACATGGAGGAGGCATGTGCCAACTGCCAAGTAGGAATAGGTAATGAAGGTTCTGAATTTTGAAAAGTAAACGACTTTTTCCAGTTTTTCTCACCCAAGGTTTGTCTTAATGACACTATCTGCCCAAAAAATTTCAAAATACTACTTTAGCACCCATAAATACACTTCTTCCCAATTGTATTGGGCGAGTTCCAAAAACCAAACTAGAGAGTTTTTTATAAGTAAAGATTGGCAATCGAATGATAGTGATTGATTAAAAATTTACAATCAGAAATCACTAAAAATCATCTAATATCAAAAACTCTAGCTTCGTTGGTTCAAAATTGGGAATACTACTCTTAGTATTCCCAAAAAGTTAACAGTAAAATACCCAAAAACTCTCGCTCGGCGTTTGTTTAACATTTGGGAATACTACTTTTAGTATTCCCAAAAAGTAAACATAAAATACCTAAAAATTCAGATTTTTGGGAATACTACTCCCAATATTCAACTTTTTATAAACCCTTTAAATTTGATAATTAAATTAAATACCCCTAAATTTTTTTTTAAATTATAAAAACACCCAATAATCCACATTTACCAGATTCCGGCCACCACCATCGGAAAATGGCCGGAATCTGTTAGAATGGCGCACTACCGGCTGAATCTGCGGCAGGGGCCGACTAGCCTTTTCCGGCCAGATCTAAGGCCAAAGATCTGGCCGTTGTCACGACACCGTTTGTTTGTCAACGGCCAGATCTTTGGCCGTAACACTCGGTCACGACGGCAACAAACGGTCTCGTTGATGGTCACCGACGACCGTTTGTTGGCCGTCGTTGAGAGCAAATACGCCAGATCTGGCCATTGACGGCCAGATCTGACCGTAGATCTGGCCTTTTTCCGGCCATCCACCTGTGGATCTGGCCGAAAAGGTCATAGCGACGCATGACCGGCAGATCCAACCTGTCATGCGCCCATACGGCTTGCTCCGCCCACCTCCGGTGGTGGTCGCCGGCTGGGGTGTTTGAGGGTGGTTTAGGGGTATTTTTGTTACTTTTAATGTTTTATTATAGGGGGTATTTTGTAAAAAAACACACATAAAGAGATTTTATTATTTATAAATTTTACATCGTAATACCCGCCCAATCAACTTTTTTTTAACTTTTTTCAAAAAACTTTTCCCAAAACCCCCAATTTTTGAACCAACGCAGCCCTCATTTTGGGAATACTATTTTCAATATATTCAATTTTTTTTAACCTTTAATTTGTTTAATTTAATTAATACCCCCTAAATATTTTTTTTAAAATTACAAAAACACCCCAACATCCACATTTACCAGATTCCAGCCACCACCGTCGGAAAATGACCGAATCTGGTAGGATGGCTCACTACCGGCTGAATCTGGCCGTAGTGGGCCATCTAGCCTTTTCCAGCCAGATCCACGGTGGATCTGGCCGGAAAAGGCTAGATCTAAGGCCAAAGATCTGGCCGTTGACGGCCAGATCTTTGGCCGTAACAGTCGGTCACGACGGCCAACAAACGGTCGTCGTTGACCATCAACGACGACCGTTTGTTGGCCGTCGTTGAGAGCAAATACAGCCAGATCTGGCAGTTGACGGCCAGATCTGGCCGTAGATCTGGCCTTTGCCGGCCAGATCCACCGTGGATCTGGCTGGAAAAGGCCATAGCGGCGCATGACCGGCAAGATCCAGCCGGTCATGCACCCATAAGGCGACTCCGGCCACCTCCGGTGGTGGTGGCCGACTGGGGGTGTTTGAGGGTGGGTTAGGGGTATTTTTGTTAACTTTTAATGTTTTATTATAGGGGGTATTTTGTAAAAAAATAAACATATAGGGTATTTTAGTAATTTATAAATCCTACATCGTAATACCCGCCCAATTCAACTTTTTTTTAACTTTTTTCAAAAAACTTTTCCCAAAACCCCCAAATTTTGAACCAAACGGAGCCTCTAATTTTATGGTGGTCAACAATCGACGAAAAATCAAATATAAAAATAAGAGGTATTTTATATAGAGGAGACTGAAACTTTAAATGGTAGTGAGAGAGAGAATTTTTACTACCAAAATTAATATTAAATGGTAATAAAATATCAACTTTGGATGAGAAAATGATATTTTATAACGTTTTGAATGGAAGAATGTTGCCAACGCAAACCTTGGGTGAGAAAAACGTCGTTTACTCAATTTTGAATGTAAATAGTGTGGCCTTTTAGAATTGTTTATTTAAACAATTTAAGCCATTAAAAAACACATGTCAACTTTTTCATAAAGTACATTAACAGTGAATGATCTTATGGTTGTTTGGATCATTAATCAAATCAATTTTTAATATAATATTCTCAGCATGTAAAATGTGATATGTGAATAATCAAATGTTCTTTTATGTAACCTAATCCTATAAATCATTAAAAATATGTGTTAATCATGAAAATTTATTAATTAATTAATATATTATTTAATTATTAATTTATCAAGGTATTATGTATGTTTTTTTTTTTAAACATTAAATTTAATGCATGTACATATGAGATATAAATAATATTGTATTGGGAATAACTACTAAAATAACATCATTCGGCTAGCTTATATGTGGTTGAGGGAATAGCTCGAAGGTCTCCTAATTTAATCTTGTTATATATAATTTTGGTATACAGGGAGATTATTAATTTATATATCTAGTGACACGTATATGTTTTTTTTCTTTTTTTTAAAGTATCATCTTATAAATTTAGCAAATTTTTTGCCACATTGATCCTAAGTCAGGACCGGTCATAAATATTATTTAATCGAGGTTATTAATTTACTGAGTATTAGTTTATAGAGATTTAACCTATATCACTATTCTCAAAGTTAATTTTTCTTTTTAACTTTATATGGCCAAAATCCATTAGACTTTAAAATTGGATGTAGAGGCATCATAGGCCTTAATATTACAACACATTAAACAAAGTATACAAGACATTAATCATATAAGCAATATACACATGGTTGTCAGAATGAAACTCACAAGAGTCTACACTCTTTATAATTCACTAAGATAATACTCTGTTCACACTATTAAGCACCCATGTGATGATGTATTCATCTTCTTAGTTTACAGCTTCGAAACAGGCAAACCTGCATATTACAGTATGATCAGACTTCTCAAATGCAAGGCAAATGTGACAACACTCGAAATATAGATGGATATTATTACCTAAGGCTTTCGAGTTCACAATGCTTGGACATGCAGCTGGAGGTGGAGCATTCTCATTCAAAAATGGTTCTACTCGGTTTGGATCACCCCACAATGGGTATCCTTTAATCTTTCCCTGTAATATGGACGATCAATCATAAGCAAAGTCAAAATAGTGAAAAACCCCTTGAAACTGAACTTGAGAGTGTGAAAGTTATTTGGTATTTTCCTATCCTAATTCATACCAGGACATTGAGAGCAGCTAGCGTTGCCATTCCTTCACGAGTCCACTGCATAAATCAAACGGGAAACAATTACAATCTTCACCAATTAATCAGTAGAGATATTTATATGTCATTTAATCTTGAAATACAATATCCATTAATGTTACCTTGGATGCGGAAGCAATATGAGGTACTACAACGGCATTCTTCATATCAGCAAGTCCAGGCTTCATGTAAGGCTCGTCCTAATACAACACCAATGATACAATCATGTATTAACTTGGGAGGAGGTTTGGCTAAATTTGATATAGAGGTGAGTTTTTTACCTCAAAAACATCAAGACCAACGCGAAACATTGGATTTTGTTTCAAATGCTCCACCAGAGCTACTTCATCAACTACTGGACCCCTGCTACAGTTTATAAGGATTGCTTCCTACAGATAAAGGTACAAATTTTTAGATGTTAAGCAAGGCACACTTGCATCTATCTTCTCAAGTAACCGCACAAGAACAAAAAGGACATTCAAGAGGTCACCTTCTTCATCAGTGCAAGCCTTTCTTTGTTGACCAAATGATAAGTGGTTTTATCCAACACAGGATGAAGACTTATCTGCACAGAGAAGCAACACCAGTGTATTTTAATTACAAGTAGATGTTCGATACAAAACCAAAATACATATTTAGTTCTCAGCAAATGGATTCTTACCACATCTGCCTGCTGAAGCACCTCATCCATGGATGCTGCTCTTCTCCAAGTAACAGGTTGTTCACCATTGGCTTTCAGAAATTCGCCGTAAGCTGCCATTGGAAATATAGAAATGTCAGCATAGAGGACTCAGAGATTGATTAAATTTAATAGAAGATTGAGACATGCCTGTTACAAACTTTTCTAAGCGTGTAGATTGGTAAAGGTCATAGTATATTAGGTTCATTTTGAATCCTTCAACCTGTTGTAGAACAGACAAAGAATTATTCCCAAAAACATAAACAAAAAGCACACTAAGAATTCTTGCAGGCAAATTATTAACTGGCTTTTGAGATCAGCTCTATAGAAATATGGGAGAGAATAAGTCTGCCATTCACTTAGCAAAACATTACCATCATTCGGGCATAAGCAGATCCAATACGACCAGCTCCAATTACACCAACAGTTTGTCCTTTCAGCAAGTTTCCGACAAACCTATCAGAGAACAGTAGTCCAGTCAGTAGTCACAGACTTTAATTTTTGCAGAGCATTCAAATTTAACCATATATTTGAAAAGATGCAAAAACAAGCAAAGAATTGAAGGCTATAGTATAAAGTGGAGGTCATACAGGTTCGGAAGCCATCCATCATATAAGCCGGCCCGCATGAACTCATCTGCTTCAACAATTCTTCTTGCAGCTGCCAAAGAGAGTGAAGCAGCTAACTCTGCTGTAGTTTCTGTGAGTACTCCCTAACATATAACCAATAAATTATATCAATACACAATCTTGGCTACTAGTCTTCTTACTACTACAATCACATGTAATTCTTATTTGCAACCCAAAAATGTATTCTAGCACTTACAGATAACAGTAAGTTACACATGATAGTAATGGTGAGCAACATCCTTCCTTACAATGACTTCATTCATATGCATGTGATATAATGACCGGTGATTAGCTTTAAACGGTCTTGTTAATAACATGAGGCCACGTAGCTATGTAAGGTGAGCGAAATTGTCACTAGCTAGTAATTATACATTGACAATCATGCTTTAGTGGATAATATCAATCAGAATAGTGTCATATCATATTGCATAACACACGGAATATTTACAAATTACAATCCATTCACACAAGTACTGCACATTTACATCAACCATACAGGTACGCATCATAATGTGGATAAAGATGAGATGACCACCACAACAAGCCTTAATGTACAATATGGTCCATATCATAAGACTGGCGTGGTTTTAGTAACATCAAAATGACTGCCTAATAAGCATATAATCAACCATATAGCATGCAATAACTTTGCTTTCAAGTAAACACTAGATGTATGAAACAAACCCATAGCATTGACATGTACCTGCCATACCTTCAATACATAATTTTAAGTAGCAAACAAGGTAATACTACAATAAGATATTAACCGATATTTTGGTTATAAATAATAATATTTTGGTTTCATGTCATATCACAATTTTTCTGCTACACTTAAACAATAGATTGATACTTGGAACCAAAACACACTCTTGATAAGAATTGGACTGGTGCTATATAAAAAAAAAAATTCTGAAATCAAATACATTCAAAAGAAAAACAAAACCAAACTCACAGGAGTATTTCCAACAGCAACACCGTATTTATTGGCAGCATTAACATCAACATTGTTGTAACCAACAGCCATGTTACTGAAAGCCTTTCCTCCAGCTCTACTCAATGCAGAAAACAGAGTCTCTCCCCAGTCTTCCGTCAACTGAAACACAAAAAACACATAAAATTTAACAGCCAAACAAACTTATTTCAAGGAAAAAAAAATTCGTTGATTACCGAAAATAAAATAAAGTACCTGTCCAATGACTCCATCACACTTGTCACCAATCAAAGCAATGATATCTTCGATAGAAAGAATAGTTTTCTTCTGGGTGCATATCTGAAAATGAAACAAATAACAAAATGTCATCAACTTTACATGGATAATTCAATACTTTTAAAAAATCGATAAACAAGTTGAGAAAAATATTGGTTACTTACTTCAACACGACAATCTTGATCGATCAAGAGATTGATCCAACGAGTTCCAGGCATGGGTTTGGTGCTAACAACTCTGTATTTCCCATTTGGATTCCACACTTCAATTGAAACTGGTTTCGCCATGGCAGCCAAGCTAGTGACAAAAAACAGTGTGTGGTCTCTAAATGAAAAAACAGAGCTTTTAAAAGTTCTCTCTGCTCTGCTTTAAACTGTATTATTTGAGTGTGTTATGGTGTGATGCAGCACACCACAATAACTTGCAGTGCATTTATTTTTATAAAAGTCTTCTCTACTCTCCTGATCCGCTGATAACCCTATGATTGTTTTCGCTATACATCAACGGTTGACTTGAAGGGATGCAAGTTAATATGGTGGGTTGGATGACCATGGGATGTGGTTTGATCAGATAAAGTGTAGTGTGGGTTGAAGTATTTGGACCTTCCATTTATTTGGTATTAGATAAAGGTGAGATGGCGTCACCTGTGGATGACACGTAAGGGAGCCTTTATCCTTTTTGTCGAATGGCGAATTTACATCTATTGTCTGTGGACAATATAAGCTTGTGGGCTATATTGGTTATGGTCCTAATGGGAATTGACCAGAATTGATCAGGCTAAACTATGTCTTATCGTTTGTATTGATGCTTGTGAAATGAGAGCCGTCCATTGACTGGATCATTGATTTCGGCCTTTTGAACAGGATAATATTACCCTCACAAACCCTTTTTGTTAACTTTCTCTTATAAACATAATTTAACAATTCATAATTGTTTAACTCGTAATAGATCCTGACTGACCAAATACGAGCTACCACGTCACATTTGTGAAAGAAAGTTGGTGAGAAATTTGTCAGCCTATTTTTATTGTTTTGAATTTGTCGATGAGTTTTGTGTTTGTAAGGGTCCAGTTTTAACGATATATAGATGGCCGAATAGTTAGATAATAACTTTTGAGTGTATTATTCAAGAGATTTTGAATTTGAATCACGTTAGTTTCTATAAGGATAGTCATTATAAGGTGTATGCGGTCGTTAACTTTAGGATCCCAAGAATCGATTGTTAATTTTAAGACCCCGCCAATAAGTCAAGATAGGCGCAAATTGATCCAACACCCTCGGTCACAAAAGAGTCCAATTTATTAATCAATGTGCCTCCATTTTAGAAATTAATTAATAAAATTTGTGAAAAATTAATTAATTAAATTAGATTAGTGTTCATATACAATTAATTTATTTTAGACATCCTAGAATTAAGCATACAATTATTTTCCACAGTCTCCTCTCCTTGTTTCCCCTCGAATCAATTCGTGAATACGGCGACGTCTTGGTGCATCAATGTATTCCACAAGCCACAGCAGCCATGCAAAAAGAAAATTACAGAAGAGAGAGAAGCTTCGTTATCACAGCCATGCAAAAACAAAAATTTTAATCAAGATGAAAAAGAACATTCGATGTCGATGCAGCTGCCATGCAAAAGAAAGATATAAAAAAACGAAAAACGCTGCCGTGGAGTACTTCCAGTTCCATGGTTGATTCTCCCTCACGAGTATACTCCACAAAACGATTCTTTGAGTTTCTTTGACCTCTGTGAAGACCAGGTTTATAGTTTTAATCTCCCAACCACATCCTGGATTTGTGGATCTTCCAAAGGCTGGCTCCTACTGCTTTGCCTTAGCCCTGTATTGTATGAATCCTATCGGCTAATTTTTCTCTTCAATCCGAATTCAGTCTGTCTTCCACATCCTTTGATATTTCACTGCAACATAAATTACCTATTGCTGACTTTACTTCTAAGATTGAGTTATTATCATCTTTAGTGGATTCTTCAAACTGTATAATTGCAGCAACTTTCTTTGCCGGTAGGCCCTTGGATGGGAGCTGGACAATCTTCCAAGAAGGTCTTGATCCTGAAGATGAGATTTGTGTAGTAGACTTTTATTTTCTAAGGGATTCTCATGCGTTGATCTACAGTGAAAAATTTCAAGCTGTCTCTTTTGCTTCACATTCCATCAAATGTTATTGTCAAATAAATACCAGCAGATCCCACCTCATCAATAAGAATTCCTAAAGTAGAAATTCAACGGGTAGATTGGATTCCTGAAGATGAAACTGATTGATATGGACTAAAGAGACAATTGGTTTCGTGCATATTTGGTGGAATCCGAAGGTGAACTGTTGATTATTCATAAGAATGAAATATTGTGAATACCCAATAGATGTTGATCCTCAGATTCATCGCAACAATAAATTAGCGATTCTCAAGTATTGAATTTGAAGTGTTTAAAATTGATGTAAGGAAGCTAGATTATTGAATATTTTGTGTGACATCAACAAGTTCGACATCGGTTGCACAAGTGTTAACTAATCCTTAAGATCTCGTCTAAATTAATTCAATGTGAGAATCAGGTGATTAGAATTCAAGACCTCTTGAATAATATACCCAATATTGTAAATTTAATTTTCATACTTCAAATAATATGAGATTGAAAGGACATCTCCACTTGATCCACTGGTGTTTTTTTTGCCAATAAATTTTTTTATAAAAATCCTGTAGGTAGTTTTGTGAATCTAATTCTTCAATTAAAACTATTTGAGCTTTAGTAGATTTCATTTAACAAAGTATGCACTACCAAATATAAATGATATACTCATTTAAGAAGTTTTTTTTTTTTTTTTTTTTTTTTTTTTTTTTTTCACTTTATTTTTCAATGTAGGCCAACAATGTTTCACTTTCAAGTTTTAAATTGAAATAACTACTTATTTGACCCTATTTTAAGAATTAAATTTGGACAGTTTTTCTTCTTCAATTCCCTTCTCTTTTCTTCTTTCTTCTAATCTTCTCCTTAATGTTTTAGATTTATGTCTTTTGTATTATTTACAAATGTTTAGGAGTGTATATTAGGCTGATGTGTTTAATATAAATGGAATATTGCATAAAAAAAAAAAAACAAATAAAAAGAAATTTCCAGAAAAATTACAGATTCTCAAGTTGCAAGAGTCTTGTCTCGCACGAGTCGCTTCTTGCTTGAGTGGTGTATAATGATATTAACCTTGTTCGAGTTGGATCTTTTTTATATTATATAAAGGTTATAATGATATTTATTATATGTAAAATATTAATTTGTCCCATTTAAAGTTATAAACTATCAAAAAAATTCACTTGGGCAAGGCTGATATCATTATACTCCCTCATGCATTACAAGAGTCTAATAGTTGAGTTTATTCATCGGTTTTTTGAAAAAACATTTTTTAACCAAATTTTAGTTAATATATATATATATACTTTTGACATTTCATATAACTTTAAACACTATATTTTTTTTCAAAAAATCGTAATATTCTATATTTCAATATCAAATCAAAAGGTTTTTGCTATTTTCATGGAAGTAATGGTATTAACGTGATTAAGTGTAGAAGACAATGATAGAAATATCCAAAAATCTTAGGAAAGGTCTTCCTTATATAATCATTTAAAAAATAATTATTTTTTAATTTAACTTTTTAAAAAAGGTTATCCAAGTAATTTTTCTATTGTTTACTTAAACCAAGTAGATTTTCCATTGTATCCATCCTGGTCTTTGGAATCTTCAAAAGGCTTGGATTATAATGCTTCACCTTTATGCTATCTCTCAATCCGATTTCAGATCGTAATTTTTCACTCCCTACTCTTCAAAAACATCCATGTTTTGAAACTTCACGAATATATAAATTACATGTTACTGAATCTATTAGTAAGTTTGAGCTATCATCGTCATCAGTCCATTCTTCAGACTGTATTATTGCTTGAACTTTCTTTAATGGTACTATATATTATTGGCGCTATGCACACCCTCGGCCCAGAATTGGACGATCTTCCAAGGACTTGATCCTGATTCCTGAAGATGAGTGTTGTGTAGTAGACATTTTCTTTTCTCGAGGAATTTTATATGCATTGATCTGTAGTAAAAATGGTCGAGATGTCTCTTTTGGTGCACGTTCCATAAGGGTAGGCGATCAAGATGTTACTGTTAAATTAATACCAGCAGATCCCACTTCATCAAGAAGAATTCCTCAACTGGAAACCCAACTGGTGGAATGGATTCCTAAACATGAAGGTGAAAAAATATGGACGGGAAGAGACACAGGATTTCGTGCATATTTGGTGGAATCCGAAGGTGAATTATTGATTGTTCATAAGATAATGAATATTATAAATACCAAAATAGATCATGTTGATGAGGATCATGGTTAAAAGAAAAAATTAGCATATTCTTAAGTACTGAGATTTGAAGTGTTCGAAATTAATGGCAAAAAAGCTAGATTGTTGAATAGCTAAGGTGATCAAGTTCCTTTTTTTTTTTTTTTTTTTTTTTTTTTTGAGGTGTTTAAGTCAACTTACGCACACCTCAACTAATTCCACGGGACTCTAAAGTAAACGACCGAATAAATCTCCTCAGTGGTCACTCCTATTAGTGTCTAGGGGGACTGAAACTCAAGAACTCATATTGGACCCCTTTGTTCTTATATCATCAGGCCCAATGGTGGTTTTCAATATCGGTTGCAGCAAGTGATTCCAATGGGTTGACAAAGAATTCCATTTTCTTTTTGGATGATTTTGCTTATGGTATAGGTAAATTTAACCTTACTTGAAAGGGAAGTGGGGGGATGTTTAGTTAATACAAGTAGGGGTGCAGTCGAACCGAGTAGCTCGTGAGCTACTCGGGATCGACTCATGACGAATTCAGGCTTGACTGGTCAAAAATCTAGTAGTTCACGAGTTCGAGCTCATCTTCAAGCTCGTGAAAAATGTTGAGCTTTTCAGGGATAGTCATTATAAGGTGTATGCGGTCGTTAACTTTAGGATCCCAAGAATCGATTGTTAATTTTAAGACCCCGCGAATAAGTCAAGATAGGCGCAAATTGATCCAACACCCTCGGTCACAAAAGAGTCCAATTTATTAATCAATGTGCCTCCATTTTAGAAATTAATTAATAAAATTTGTGAAAAATTAATTAATTGAATTAGATTAGTGTACATATACAATTAATTTATTTTAGACATCCTAGAATTAAGCATACAATTATTTTCCAGTCTCCTCTCCGTGTTTCCCCTCGAATCAATTCGTGAATACGGCGACGTCTTGGTGCATCAATGTATTCCACAAGCCACAGCAGCCATGCAAAAAGAAAATTACAGAAGAGAGAGAAGCTTC